AGTAGCACTAGATAGCTAAAACAGAATTTGGTACCAGGAGAGTGGGGTGCTGCTCTAACAGACACCTAAAATGTGGAAGCAGTTTTGAAACTGTGAATAGGTAGAGGCTGGAAGAGTTTTAAAGTACCTAATAATAATCCTAAAACCAATCCTGGATTGCTTTGAAGAGACTGTTGTTGGAATTATGGACATCAAAGACAATTCTGGTCAGGAGTCAGGAGGAAGTAAGGGGAGCTGTTACACTGGAGACAGCACAGACAATGAGAAGCAGCAGCAGAGAAATGGCAGGAGCAGAACCAGGAGACCAGTGCGAGTCAGCCCTGGAGCTGACCCAAGGAGCAAGACAGCTCAGTGCTTTTGGGCAGGAGTCTTCCTAGCGGAGTGGGTTGCCTCTGGGCACTTATTGGTGGAGCTAGGCTTGCTGACACAGACCCATTGAGCAAGAGAGCTGAGTGCCTTTGCACAGGAGGCTTCCTTGTGTCGTGGGGTGCCTCCAGGCACTTATTGGAGCTAAAGAGCTTTGGAACACTGTCTTAGCAAGGCAGAGACAGGTGGAGATGCTCAAGGGACCGAGAGGCCAGGGAACCAGGAAGCAGAAGCTGAAGAGACAAGGAACAGAGGAAGCAGAGCTGCCTCAGTCAAATGGTAGGGCCACGACCTCTGGAGTCTCAAAGGGTGGAGCCATGATCTCTGTCTTGGTCATCTAGTACTGCTATAACAGAAATACCACAAGTGGATGGCTTTAACAAAGAGAAATTTATTCTCTCACAGTCTAGTAGGCTACAAGTCCAAATTCAGGGTGTCAGCTCCAGGGGAAGGCTTTCTCTGTTGGCTCTGGAGGAAAGTCCTTGTCATAAGTCTTCCCTTGTTCTGGGAGCATTTCAGTGCAGGAACCTCAGGTCCAAAGGACATGCTCTGCTCCCAGCACTGCATTCTTGATGGTATGAGGTTCTCATGTGTCTCTGCTCACTTCTCTCCTTTATATCTCAAAAGAGATTGGCTTAAGACACTAATCATGTAAACCTCATCAATATAACTGCCACTAATCCATCTTATTGCATCATAGTTACAGAGTTTATAACACATAAGGAAATCACATCAGATGATAAAATGGTAGACAATTATATGATACTGGGAATCATGACCTAGCCTAGTTGACAGATTTTTTCAGGGACACAATTCAATCCATGACAGCCTCCTAGGTTTCAAAGAGTCAGATTTTCATCAACTTAGTTCTGGAGTATGGGATTGCCTTTCACGAGTGCCAGTGGGATGGGGCCAGATCTGCTGCCCAAAGCTGAGGGGGTGGGGCTGCCATGCCCAGGGGGCAGAAGAATGGGGTTTGCTGGGGCTGAGGGAGTGGAGTCACTACTCAGATGGACTAGGAGAATGGGGCGCCCAAATGCAAGAGAACAGAGTTGCCATTCCAGACAGCCTGGAAGGCAGATCTGAAGCCCAGAGCCAAGAGGCCTCCACTCAGAGTCCAGAGAGTGTGGCCAGCACCCATAGTGTGGAGGGCAGGGGCATTGCCTAAATGGTCTCAGAGAACAGAGTATTATTTTCAAGCATTGAGAGCTAATGTAATGTGTTCTGCTGACTTGCCTGGTGCCTGTTACCCTTCTTTCTCTGTAATTTCTCCCATTTGTAATGGAAATCTCTAGCTTGTGCGTATTCCACCATTGTACTTTGGAAGTAGCTAGCTTGTATTCTAGATTTCACAGATGAAGAGGAATTTTTGGATTTTCAACTTGGAGTTGATTTAAGTCTTTTGCTATATGAAGGGTGTGTGTTTCACATGTGGCAAAGACATGAATTTTTGGGGTCCAAAGGGTAGAATGGAGCCCTGGTGGTGCAGTGGTTAAGTAATATGGCTGCCAACTAAAAGGTCAGCAGTTTGAATCCACCAGCTGCTCCTGGAAACCCTATGGGGTTTAGATTTTTTTAAAGGATAGAATGTTATGGATTAAATTGTGTCCCACAAAAATGTGTGTATCAACTTGGCTAGGCCATGATTCCCAGTATTATGTGATTGTCCACCATTTTGTTGTCTGGTGTGATTTTCCTATGTGTTGTAAATCATACCTCTATGATGTTAATGAGGCAGGACTCCATCTATAACATCAGGTTGTATTTTGAGTCAATCTCTTTTGTGATATAAAAGAGTGAAGCAAGCGGCGACATGGGGAACCTCCTACCACCAAGAATGAAGAACCACAAGGGGAGCATGTCCTTTGGACCTGGGGTACCTGCACTGAGAAGCTCCTAGACCAGGGGAAGATTGATGACAAGAACCTTTCCCCCTAGAGCCGACAGAGAGAGAAAGGCTTCCCCTGGAGCCGGCACCCTGAATTCAGATTTCTAGTCTCCTCAACTGTGAGAGAGTAAATTTCTGTTTGTTAAAGACCCCCACTTGTGATGTTTCTGTTACACCAGCACTAGACAGCAAAGACAGCATCATTTAGAGTGGAAAGCAGCTTCCATTGAAGAATTAACTACTACTTTAGCTCATGAGCTTACTTAGAATTTAGAAACAAAGCAAACTGCTGAAACTAACAAATTAAATAAGTTAATGGCCCTCCAGTTACAATAGCTACGTGGGCCTACTCAGAAAAATGGTTTTTAATCCTCCAATAGACCTAAAAATACTAATTTCTGCAACTATTCTAAAAACCCTGGCCACTGGAAAAGCGAATGCTGTAAGTTAAAGAATAAACAGAAGGCTTCTACCTCAGCCGCTCTTCCTTACCCTGATTCAGAATGAAGGGGCTCTGGAGACAAAACAGGGACTTTCCTGTAGTAGCTCTAAATTCTCAAAGAGAAACAGCTATGTATATTAATGGAGAACCTTGTAAATTTTTAATTGATTTGCAGTTACCTTATCTGCAATAAATCCCACTTGCTTAAAAAGCCTCTGCCCTGGAGTAAAAAGACTTGTTACAGTGGGAGTTACAAATAAAGAATAAATATTATTTCATTCTCAACCTGTACCAATGTCTATTGGCTCTACGGAAGATTTCAACCCCTTCCTACTGAGCCCGCAAATAACTGTTAATTTATTAAGAAGAGATATTTTATCTAAATGGAATTTCCATCTGCAATTTAATGAAAAGGGGGAAATATTATTAATCTTGCCTGATCATCAAAACTCAGGAATAAACAACGCTCAAAAGGAAGAGGTTATTTGCTATGCAAGCCCTTAATAATGCCTTGACTGTAATCTTACAAAAGCAGATTGTTAGGCCTTTCTTCCACAGTGCCACTGGGTGGATTCAAATTGTCAACTTTTAGTTAGTAGTTGAGCGCTTAACTGTTTGAGCCACCTCAAAACACCCAAACCTGTTGCCCTCAAGTGAATTCCGTATCATGGTGACCCCATGAGTTACAGGGTAAAACTGCTCCATAGGATCTTCTTGGCTATAATCTTTATGGAAGTAGATTGCCAGACCTTTCTTCTGCAGCACTGCTGGGTGGGTTGAATAACTATCCTTTAGGTTAGCAGCCTATCACAAACTTCTTGCACCACCCAGAGAATTATTTAATCTATTTTAATACAATAGAGTGGAGCCCTGGTGGTGCAGTGGTTAAGAACTTGGCTGCTAACCAAAAGGTCAGCAGTTTGAGTCCACCAGTCACTCCTTGGAAACCCTATGGGGCAGTTTTACTCTGTCCTATAGGGTTGCTATGAGTTGGAATCGACTCCACGGCAATGGGTTTTGTTCAGGTTTAATATAACAATGTAATATATAACTCATATATATCAATATAGCCCTTTGCCATCAAATCGATGCTGACTCATAGTGACCCTATAGGACAGAGTAGAATTGCCCTACACAATTTCCAAGGCTATAATCTTTACAGAAGAAGACCGCTAAAAAAGTCTGCAGTTGGAACCCAACAGCTGCTCAGTGGGAGAAAAATATATATAGCGGTCTTAACCACTGTGCCACCAGGGCTCCTTATATATATATATCAATATATGTATATTTAATATATATGTCCTTTATAAGCCTCAGTATGCACGTTTGACACAAAACTTTCAGAAAGAGAAAACAAAAAACAAATGAAAATATCTCAATTTTCGAATTTAAAATTCTCTTCCAAATGACTTTTAAAATAAAGGCAAAGAAAAATTTGAATTTATGAAATATTTACAAATTAATGACTTAAGCAAATTACAAGATGCCATGTAAGTTTATCTCAAAGATATTTGAATTTATAATTTATCTCAACAATGTTGAATAGAATGACAAATTAAATGTAAAGGAGAAAGAAATTTATATCTATACAAATAGAAATCTTTGTTCTTTTACTTGATTTGACCAAAATTATCAGATGCCTAAGCCCTACACCCCCACAAGCCAGGTCCTGGCATTAGGAAAGTTCCAGGATTGAGCTGAGATTTGTGTCTATACCTCTGGGTGAATAGGGACTAGAAATGGAAATTAAGTTCTGTGGAAGTCAGCATGAAATTGCAGGTTCTGCACAGGGCAAAGTTTTGCATTTTGCATTCTAGCATCCACCAACACGGATAATTCCAGTCCTTGATCAATGAAATAACTTGTTTAATTACAGGAGTCTTAGCTGTCTGAATTTATAATTTATCTCAACAACGTTGAATACAATGACAAATTAAATGTCATTTAATTTGACTGACCATTTGATTTTACCAGTTTGCCACACGGTAGAAGGAAAACATCTCAGCTTCCAATACATGTGACCTACACAATTTTCCTTTTACTTAAAGTGTTTGAAACGTGAACTTAAAATAGGCAGGAAGCAGCTCTAGTCCTTAGGATCTTAAAGGCATTGAATCAGATCAAATGCGGAGAATCAAGTTCCATTGGGAAGAACAAGGAAAACCCAAGCCCAGAATAGCTCACGCCCCACTTCCTCATCGCCCAGTCCCACTCCTCTCCACCCGCGCCTACGTCCACGCCCCGCCCCGCCCCGCCCCGCCCCGCCCCGGCACCATTTAATGCCGACCCGGAAGAGAATTTCTCGGAGCGTCGGTCCCACGAGGCAGTTTGGGTGAGTTTCGTGTTTTTAGTTCGAACCCCGAACTTCGCGTCCCATCCGGCCCCGCGTCCTCCCCGCCTAGGGTCCGGGGGTCCCTGCGGAGGTTCAAGGCCCAGCACCTGCTGGCTGTCGTCCCCGATCCTCGTCTGCTTCCGGTTAAACCCGCGCCGAGGCCAGTCGCGCGGCCTCCCTGCTTTCGGAACTGTGGATCCCGCCTGCCCTTTTGCTGCCTGACCTTCGCCGACCGCTCCCCACCTCGCGTCCGGAAAGGCCCCGCGGGGGAACCTCCTTTGCACCCCCCAGTCCCGTCCCTTTGGCCCTCAGGACGGCCTCGGCCGCGCTCCACGGCCCAGGACCGAGTCGGAAAGTTTTTTTAATTTTGTCATTTTCAGTCAGATAATCCGTTTCTTCTTTTCGTTCTTGAAGCTTATCATTTAAGTTTTATTAACACTTAATTTTTAATACGAAATTTGGGCTTACTTTTTCCTTCTCTTGGTTTAAAAATTTGAACAGTCGGTTTATTTTCAGAACTTTTTTTTAATATTGTTAAAAATAAATTTCTTCAACATCACTGCTTTGGTCACATTCCCTTTTATTCCTCACTACGACTCTAAATTGGTCATTTAAAAGTTACGACGTAGATTATAAAAAGCTTTTCCTGTAATCAAATTCGGCGTACGCTTACTATCTTTTGCTTTTTGATTTGTTTAGTTTTGTTTTCACTATCTGATTTTCGTTTGATTTTATAAACCTGTGGTGTGTTTGATAGCTCCTTAATTTTTTTTTTTTTAGATTGTAAGACAACTTTATTTTTAACTGAAGACAACACAATATCCAGTAATAGAAGAGTTGTTAAATACGGTAAGATATTTCCTTATTTGATATTAGCTGACATTTTCTTTATGATTCACTACATGGTTATATTTGATGAATGTTCAGTCGCTGTATCCAGGTGTCTTGGATAAAAGTTCAGTTTCTAGTCACTAATTTAGTTAAATTGAATTGCCAATGTGCTTACATTTTATTGCATTATTGCATGATGATTTCGAAGGGAATATTTTTAATTTTTCGTTGAACTTTAATAATTTATCAATTTCTCTTTGAATTTTTATGTTTCTACTTAGTCATGTTTGAACATATATTTTAGGTTCATACATACTCATGAATATCGTATTTTCAAATTTAATTTTCCCTTAGGAATATGAAGAAAAAATTGGTTACCTTTTTAGTTTACTCTGACTCATGGTGACCCGATGTGTGTCACAGTAGTTTTCAATGGCTGATTTTTTGGAAGTAGGTCTCCAGGACTTTCTTCCAAGTAGTCTCTGAGTAGACTCGAACTTCTAACCTTTTGATTAGCAGCTGAGCATGTTAACAGTTCGTGCTACACAGGGACTCAGGAATTTAAAACAAAAACATAAAAAACATTAAAGAGTGAAAAAAAGGATCACATGGTACATACCTTAACCTTACTAGACTTGTTACAATAGCTACAGAAAGAAAATAATATTTACTTAATAGGAGTCTTATTTAAACCCCCCCGCCAAAAAAAAAAAAAAAACCAAACCCATTATTTGCATCGATTCTGACTCATAACAACCCTAGAACGCAGAGTAGAACTGCCCCATAGGGTTTCTAAGGAGTGGCTGGTGGATTCAAATTGCAAACCTTTTGGTTAGCAGCCCAATGCTTAACCACCGTGCCACCAGGGCTCTGTTTAAGAGAGGTGATGTGTGAAAAGCTCAGTATGTTTTGAGATATTGTAGAAGATCAACAGTCATCCTAATCAGATCTTTAAGTTTATTTTTAATGAGAGATGGAGAATTTATTAAACAATATTAAAGTTTTCTTTAGAAGCATATGTTAGAAATAGATGCATTTAGAGCATGAGGAAATCACTTTCAGTGAGCCCCTTGTTTTTGTCACACTGCCTGCATATGTGGAAACTGTCTAATGAAAACTCTTAGGATTTTGTTTTATTTGAGATGTGGTTGAAAAATGAAGGCACTATTTACTATACGTTTTACTTATTGCAGAAGGGATATTCTAATGGGTAATCATGTTGGTTTCCTTTGTAATCCACACTCATGTTCCAGGAGCAATCTTCATTATTCTTTTAAGAAAATTATGTACTACCAAAGTTAGCCCAACTCGAGGTTGAGTGTACTCTTCTCCAGATTGCCAGATCTGTTCCATACTTCTCACACCAACTGAAAGGGGATTTTCCAGAACCACACTCAGGTTCCATAATAGAAAGTCTCACAGAACTCACTGGAAGCTATTATACTATTGATCACATTTATTACAGTGAAAGCATGCAAATTAGAACCAGAGAAGAAACACATGGGGAAGAGTCTGTGAGGGTTCCATATGCAATGTTTCCACATCCTTAGAACGCGATTGATGGCATTGATGTGAGACAGTAACCATGGTGTATTGCTAATTCTAAATGTTCACATGATCTTCATGTGTAGAGTTTTTATTGAGGCTTCATTACAGTAACATGATCGATTGAATTACTGCTCAAGTGGTTGAACTCAGTCTCCAGCCCTCCCTAACCTCTCCCTCCAGGAAGTCAGATTGTTATCATGGGGCCCAAAGCCACAACTCTCTAATCATGTCTTTCTGGCATTACCAGCTTCCACTGTGAGTCCCCTCTTTAGTGTAAACTATCAAGTGTGGACCAAGGGCCCACCATGAATAGCAAAGGCACTCATATCACTCTGGAAATTCCAAGGGTTTAGGAGTTACCTCCCAGGAGCCAGGACATAGCCCAGACCTCTCTTTAGGTGAGCTCAAATTCTTTACTGCAGAAGCAGGATTTAAATATGCCTATTGTACCAAAATACTGAAAAACGTGAGCAGGAGATGATAATGAAAATCCAGCCAGAAAATCTTGTCATTAAGAGACAGCTGCTCTCATTTTGTGGATGTGCATGCACCGTACCAAAAAGCAAACCTGTTGCCGTCGAGTAAATTCTGACTCTTAGCAAATCTATAGAACGGAGTAGAACTGCCCCATAGGGTTTCCAAGGAGCGGCTGGTGGATTCGAACTACTGGCTTTTTGGTTAGCAGCCGAACTCTTAACCACCCTGCCACCAGGGCTCTTGCATGCACCATAGGTTTCTATAAAAGACTCTATCACATCCTGAATAAATGCCCAAGTTTTCCCATGGCCTTACCTTTTTTGACGTTGTCATGTTAATAGTATTAAAAATAGTGACTTATTGTGTGTGTGTCCGCGTGTGCGTATATGACAGCATTTTAACCATTTCCTTGTTGGTTTTTAACTTAAGTTTTCACAGTTAGGAAACTCTGCCGATGTCCTTTTCATGGTTTATATTTTGCTTGACTGATTCTTTGGGTTTGGTTCTAAAACCTGACCACCTGGGTTCTGCCATTTATTAAGTTGTTTGACAAAGGCAGGTTACTTAAAGTCTGTAACACAGCTTTGTCTTCTCTAAAGTGAGAACAGATAATCATCTAATTGGGTATTATGTAATTAAACAAGTTAACACAAAATGCAAGTTAGAGTAATGCTTAGCATGTGAGGAATGCTTAAAAATTCTAGTCTTTTTTGTTATGATCACAAGGTTGTATCCTAACCTTTCTTTAAAGCCTCTTATTGCCTCTTTGTTATCCCTCATGGGATGACTTGTGACTCTTGTCTCCTTTGAGAAATTACACCTTATCTGGTGGCTAGAACCTAATATTTACACTTGGTTAAAGACAACTTGTTGAATTATTTTTTAATTTGTATATTTTATCATCCACAAAAATATAAAACCTACAATGAACTCATATCCTCTGATGGAAAAGTGTCATAGATTAAAATTAGGGCTGTATGTCTTCAAAATTTTCTTAAATGGACCTGTCCAAACACATCAATCAAAAGTGATTCTTACACATCTTTCTTCCTGTAATAGTGTGTGAAAATTGGAATTCTTTCCCACAGTCAATGCCCTGTGGACCATAGGTGAAATGAGTTTTTAATGTCAGGTACCACTGATATACACTGACTTGTCCACAAAGTTCTTCCAGGTGTGGGAATGCTTAGATCCTGCTCAGAGGGCTTTGTAAAGGAACATAATGTTGGAGAACTACAGGAACCTGGTCTAGTTGGGTGAGGTAAAAGTCAGGATCGGCCCTTGGATGTGTTTGCGTTTTCCATTGTGAGTCTCTTGAGAGCCCCTGTCTTGCTTGACTGAGTTTCAGTTCCTTTCTTTAAGGGAGTGAATGAGGCTTTGTTGATTCAAAACTGATTCAAAACCACTGCACCACCCGGTTAACAGCAGAGCTCTTAATCACTGCCCTGGTTACACAGTGGTTAAGAGCTCTGCTGCTAACCAAAAGGTTGGCAGTTCAAATCTACCAGCTGCTCCTTGGAAACCCTATGGGGCAGTTCTACTCTGTCCTATACAGTTGTTATAAGTCAGAATCAACTCGGTGGCAAGGGGTTTATATTTCATATGTGAGATTATATAATGTTTGTCCTGTTGTGTCTGTGATTTCACTTAGGATGTTTTCAATGTACATTCATATTGTAGCATGAACAGAACTTTTGTCTTAATGAATGAATATTCCATTGTGTGTCACTGTGAGTCGGAATTGACTTGATGGCAACGGGTTTAGGTTTTTGTTTTTTTTTTAATGTATATACAGGAACCCTGGTCGCCCCATGGTTAAGCGCTTAGCTGCTAACCAAAAGGTCACCAGTTCAAACCCAACAGCCGCTCTGTAGGAGAAAATTGTGGCAGTCAACTTTCATAAAATTTACAGAATGGTAAATGAGCATTGGCTTCAACTTAAAATCACCAGCTGCATTAGCCCCTAACAAGAGAGTCAGTCTGTCCTTTGAAGCTCTGAAGCCAGGCATTGATTTCTCTCTAGTTGTGAAAGTCGTAGATATATATTCTTCCAATATAAGGCTGTTGCATCTACATTGAAAATCTGTTGTTTAGTGTAGCCACCTTAATCAGTTATCTTAGCTAGATATTCTGGATAACTTGCTGTAGCACTTGCTGCTTCACCTTGCAATTTTATGTTACGGAGATGGCTTCTTTCCTTAAACCTCATGAACCAACCTCTTCTAGCTTCAAACTTTTCTTCTGCAGCCCTCTCACCTCTCTTAATCTTCACAGAATTGAAGAGAGTTAGGGCCGTGGTCTGAATTAGGGTTTGGCTTAAGGGAATGTTGTGGCTGGTTTGATCTTCTATCCAGACCACTAAAACTTTCTCCATATTAGCAATGAGGCTGTTTTGCTTTCTTATCATTGGCGTATTCAGTGGAGTAGCACTTTTAATTTCCTTCAAGAACTTTTCCTTTACATTTACAGTTTCACTGTCTGGCATGAGAGGCTTGAAGAGAAAAATTTGATCAATGAGTCAGTTATAGTTTGTTGAGGTGAGTTTGTTGAGGTTAGAACTTCATGAACAGGAACATCCATTAGAAAGTGGCAAGGTGCTCACATAAGGAATGGTAATACAGGGATTTTAAAGGTAGGGATTTCCAGTAGGGAAGTTACAAATGATTGATCTTAAATACGTGTTTAATCAAAGGGAGGGTCTTACAAAGCGTAGATCTTTCTGTCATTGGTTTTGTGAATACACACATCTGTTGGGAATTGGAGCCTGGTGGGCTGAGTCAGAAACATTTTTAACTGTGAGGTTCTTTTCAGAAAGTTTTTTACAGTCAGAACACTAAAAATTCTATTCTGTCAAAGTTTATACCTGGCACAAATGGCCATTTTAATTTATTTGTCCTCAGAAAGGTTTTTGCACCTGGAACAAATGGCCATTGATTCTTAGTTTACATTTAACAGTTTCCCCTTTTGACCAACTAGGAACCTTGGTCACCATC